TCACAGAGTCTAGGATCAATTCAAGTCTCATTTTCTTTAAGAAATCTTTATCAACAGAAGTCTACTGATTTCTATAGAAGGTTACAATGAATGACAACTGCTGGTTTTGTACTTAATATACTCTGTCAGACCATTAGCCATATAATAATCAGCATAGACACCCTATTTCTCATGTCTCCAGTACTGAAATGTATTTTACAAAGTGTGGCACTGTGGGTTAATGCATCGGACTGCAAAGCCATTTAAACTGCAAGGTCGGTGGTTCAAGCTCACCAGCTGCTCCTCGAAAACCCTATACAGGGTCGCTATGGGTCGGAATTGACTCGACAGCACTTAACAACAACAACAACAAGGGTAGGAGAAGGACCTTGTACTTCCTTTTTTCCTTCTGTATCGTACAACACCTAGCAGTGCTTGCCAGATTATAGGTGCATGGAAAATGTAAAGTCCTTTTTGCCTTCCTTACTTCTTTTGGCTGCTTATATTAGGCAGGCAACAGAATGAGAAAATGAACAGTAAGCAAAAAGAAAGCTTTATCTGAAAACATGAAGGTAAACTGCACAATTACAAAGACACAATGCCTCCAGGGCTCCAGAGCTGAGCTTATAGACAGTTCTAATTCTAGACACTCCCATTAAAAAAGTCATTAACTTGTCTTGTTTGCTATAGCTAGTTTTGCGTTTGATTTCTATAACTTCAACCTGAGTGAGTCCTGACTCATATAGAAGGCTATTTAATTTTTGAGACTGCTCTTTCCAAAAAAGTACAAAACCCACTTAATGATATTAAGAGCACTTTATCACATCATTTGGAATTTCTAATTGTCTCTATCTTTAAAATCAAATCACAGAGGTAATTTAAGAAGACAGGACAAAATTATACAACGTGACAAGCAGACAAGGAGACGACATAAAAGTATTTTATTTATATAGTTCTTTAGGACTGCAAGTAATGGCATGATCTCAGTAAGAAAGAAAATACAATATTTTTTAAAAGAACTTTCCTTAAAACATAAAAGATCCTGCATGGTATGAAAAATATCTGACACTCTGTTAACAGCTATACTTTCTCCTGAAGTCTGTTTTACTACTCAAAGTTCCAATAACTGGCAGGAGAATTATCTAAAATGATATAGCACCAAAGAGTTTAATTTTTGGAATTATGTTGCTACCATATGACACACTGCACTAGAATGTATTATTCTCCAATTATTATTAGCCATTACAGAAGTAAAAATTAAAACCACAATGAAAAATCACCATATACCTTGCAGATGGTTAATATAAAACAGTGACAAAAAACAAAACAAAAACCAGTGACAACAACAAATACTAAAAAGGATGTAACTAAACTAAATCACACATATATTGCTGATGAAACTATAAAATAGTACAGTCACTCTAGAAAACAGTTTGGTAGTTTTAAAAAAATTTAAACATGTAAGTATCATATGACTCATCTCTGGGCATTTATCCCAAAGAAATCAAAACTTATGTTCAGACAAAACCTTGTACAACAGTATCTACAGCAGTTTCGTTCGTTAATATTAAAAACTATAAACACCTCCATTTAATTTTCAATGGATGAATGTTAAACAAATTGTATTCAACCATACCATGCATGATAGGCAGAATAGTAACATTCTCCCCTCAATAACCCCCACAAGATGCCCATGTCCTAACTAACCCACAAAACTTGTGAATATGCTATCTTAAATATCCAGAATAGGCAAATTCATATAGACAGAAAGTAGATTAGTAGTCATCAGGGATGGGCCAAAAGAAGAAGGGGAATGACTGCTAATAGGGATGGGATTTCTTGAGGGGGGCATGTGGGGTTGATGAAATGTTCAGGAATTAAACAGTTGTGATCAATGGACAGTTTTGTAAATATATTAAAAACTACTTGTGGGATAAAAGTCTTAGATTTGCCCAGGGCTTAAACTCATGCTGACCACGACCACGCACAAAAAAAATTGCACATTTTAAAATGATGAACTTTATGCTATGTGAACTATTACATCTCAATAAAGCTGTTATTGAAAATTAAAAAGTTAAGTCATCCAAAATCTTGAGTGAGTGTGTGTGTGTTCACGTGTGTGTATGATGATAAAACATAATACAGATTCAAAAACCTTAATTGGTTTAATTTTCCCATTTAATTAATTTGGTTATTTGTTTTAGATATCAAAGACGACCCGTGGGATTGAAAATACCATGATGACCCTTACACCCTGATGACTCAAGCATCATTAATGCCTTAGCAAACTCCTCTACCATAGGCAGCATAGCCTTCTTCCAGAAAAACTAATAAAAAAGATGCAGTCAAGTCTCCCAGCATTTCTTACCCAAATGAACTGAATTAATAAGACCTTCTATGTCATGAGAGGCTTTGAGTTTTAGAGTTATTCTCTCTACAACTACTGGATGAGCCAGAGGAAATCATGAATTTCTTTTTCTAAATTGAAGAAATCAAGAAACAAAAGAAAAATGAGTACAGACGTTAAAGAATGTGATTTCCACTTTACTGCATAATTTAGACATTATTCTTATGTTATACATTTTAAATATCAATAATTTAAGGGAAAATAAAACAATTTTGGTGGTGGTGGTAGTTGTGTACCTCCAAGTTGGTTCCAATGAATAGCGACCCTGGATAGAGTTTCTGAAGCTGCAGAAAGCCTATTTTTCTCCTGATGAGTGACTGGAAGATTTGAATTAACTTTAAGAATAATTTTAATCACAGACTAATCATCCAATTCAAACACTGCACAGGGTAAAAGCTTACATGCATATGCCACTCATCGGTGTGTTTCTACTGCCATTGTTGCCTCCTATCTAAATATATATCTACATAATAAGGAGAAAGAATTTGATTTTTATAAAATGACTTAAATTTGCAGAGAATCATGTAAAATATATACATTTCATCCATTCAAAACACTGTAATCCTATAGCCTGAATGAATTTTTTTTTTTTAATTTACACGGTAGAAAAATAAAGCTGATTCATTCATTGTTACAGACAATAAATGTCAATGATGGTTCAACATGAAAACTTAAAGATCTAATACACAAGATGACTTCAAAAAATTCATGAAAAAAGAAAACTGAAGGCTAATGGAATTTTTTTCACAAACTTTTTGAAGTTCCCTTGTATACTATTATAAATTTTATAAATAAATAATGCTCATAACGATTGTTAAGGTTTTACTGTTAATAGCATAGTCTCTGAGCTTGGCTCCATATCAGAATCACTATGCTGTTGTTAAGTGCTATCAGTCAGTTCTGACTACAGTGACCCAGTACAGGGTTTCCAAGGAGCAGATGGTGGGTTTGAACTGGTGACATTGTGGTTGGTAGTCCAGTGCTGATCCTACAGCGCCACACCAGAATTACCTATAATGACTCAAAATAATTTACCCAAGACATTGTAAATTAATAGAGACTGAAGCACTTAGATTTAAAAAAATATCTACAGGTCATTCTAAGGAGCCCTGGTAGCACAGAGGATTACGAGCTAAGTTGCTAATTGCAAGATTAGTAGTTTGAACCTACCAGTCACTCTGCAGGAGAAACATGGAGATTTCTGCACCTGTAAAGATTTACAGCCTCAGAAACTCTATACATCTCTAAGAATCAGAACTAACATGGTGGCACACAACTACCGCCACAGGAAATTCTGATGTAAAGGATACAAACCATTAATACAAGATATACTTTTATCTCTACTTTAACAACTTGTTAGAGAAACAAAAACTAATTGTAAGAAATAAATAATAAAGGTATAAAATGGAGTACTGTGGGGCCCTTACAGCTAATGCTACAAAGATATGTCTATTAATATGCAAAGATATGTGTGTGGGGGGAGGGTACAGTCAGCTGCATAAAAATACAACACCTAAGACACTTCAGTTTGGTGAGAGAAAAGATTAACTTTAAATACTATGTATACTTTGAACTCTATTAGGAAATATTTATTTTGAGATAAAGAAAATGTGGCAAATTTTAACAAGTGGTGAATCCATGTAAAGGGTATATGGATGCTATTACTGTCACAAATATTCTGTAGGTTTGAAGTTATTCAAAACGTAAAAGTTAAATGGAATAAAGAAAAACAGTTTAGAATTTAGTCACTTCCTCCCCTAAAGTATGTATTTTGTTTATCATAGATTGATATATCAATACATAACTCCTTTAAAGTATTTAAAGTTAGCTTGGTTATTGTTGCTAAGTGACGTAGAGTTAGTTCCAACCCACAGTGCCCCTGCTTAGGGTTTTAGGGGATCGGCTGGTGAACTTCAAGCACCAATCTTGCGGTTCAAATCAACTTTGCAGTCCAGTGCATTAACCCAAATCACCACCAAAATTTTCTTTAGAAAGCCTATTCCCATAGTCAGTTCTGCGACTCACTAGGGCCTTACAAGACAGAGATCTGCCCTCACAGGGTTTGCTGGGCTATAATATATCTGGAAGAAGACTGTGTCATCTTTCTCCCACAAAGCACCTGGTGGGTTCCAACCACTTACCTTTCAGTTAGCAGCTGAGCACTTAAACCACTGCACCACCAGGGTTCCTTTAAGTTAGCTAGCATAGGTTAAATCAAAGACTAGCTGAAATTACCAACACAAACATGTAACTATAGAGGTATACAAAATATTTATAGTGAATGAATGTATGAATATATGCAGGTTCTAAAATGTAAAGTCCCCTAACCTCTTTCTTCACCAAGTGCATGTACGTGTCTCTGTACTAGATTAGCTAACTACTAAGTTTTCAAAAGACTCCTGGAGTGGCACTGTATGATACAAGGTCAATTTGAACTATAATGTCGGTGGTTTAAACTCACCAGCTGCTCCTCAAAAACCTTATTCAGGGTCGTTCTGAGTTGGAACTGACTGGACAGCACTTAACAACAATTTTTAAATAAATATTTAAATAATAATCTATTCATTAAACATATGGCAGCAAAAATATCAGGTTTATAAAAATTTTATCTTACCTCATCTAAATCTTGTATATAAACAGGCTTCTCCTCAAAACCAACTGGCATTGGTTGACTATGGGGAATTTTTACTTCTTCATAGATTTTGTTATTGTCTCTTTGGATTCCTTCAGGTAAAATCATCTATAAGCATTACAAATAAAAATACCATAAAAAAATTCTTCTGATGAAAATGATTTAATTAATGAGAAAAATAAAGAAAACTATTGACCTGTATAAATTATAGTTAATTACCATAGTTAATTTAAGAAAAGCTAGCTTAAATCGAACCAAAGAAACAGGCAGCCACACACACACAAAGCATTCCTATATAAGCTAGCTCAATTCTAACTCACAGTAGCCCCACTAGAACACAAAACTGCTTCCACAGAGGTTGTCGTAACAGAAAATTGCCAAAACTTACCTGTTTCTCTCCAAGAGCCACTGGTGAACTCAAACTGCTAACCTTACGTTAGGCAGTGGAATGATTAACCACTACACCACTAGGGCTCCTTTCATATATAACATGAGTCAACTATATTTATGATGACAAATGTCTTCAGAAAACTAAGAAAAAATGTGTAATATTATAGGCAGAGTTTCTTGTATGGCGCTGTGGATTAATGCGCTGCACTGCAAAGTCGGTTTGAATCACAAGGTTGGCAATTCAAACTCATCAGTCGTTCCCTGGAAACCCTATACAGGGTCGCTATGGGTCAGAGCCAACTCAAAGGCACTTAACAACAACAACAATAGTTCAGAGTTTAGTCTATCTACATAGTGAGTGATTTCAACTGCTAACCCTCAAAACTACAAATTGCAAAATAATGAAAGGGAGAATATTTTCTGAATACCTACTATTATTGAGTCATGAAGTGTACGTATACATCATAATCTCACTTTCTTCAATATTTTGAAGTATAATTTAGCAAAGTCTTTCTGTGCCTATAAAGGCTTACAGCCTCTGAAACACTATATAGGGTTGCTAAGATCAGAACCCACTGGACAGCACGTAACAGCAACAATCAACCAGTGTTAGCATCACAAAGTAAATAAGGAAAAGTTGCATTCACTCCTAAAAACAGACATACTGTTGAAAAGGGATCATATATCAATGGCATACCTTTGCACCAGCAATGAAAGCTGATGTTTTCATGGCTTCAGCCTGGGAATCATAAACATGGGGATACCGTATTCTCTCAGCACCCATCTCTCTCTGCCTGTTCAGAACTGGAAAGCTTCTAGCATTAAGAAGTGCCTGTTCTCTGTGATTATAAAAGGAACAGAACAAAACTGAATATTTTATCTTGAAAAGAAATGCATAAAAACAAGGTCACTATAATAATGATTTCATTTTTAAAAAAGGAGAAATGTCACATTTTTAGATACGAATCTAGAAAACACTACCCATAAGTGTGACTTAATGTTCTTGATAATCATGTTTTCCACAATGCATCAAAATTTAAAGAAAATGAGTTTCAATGTCTAAAGAACTGAATGCAATAATGTACTTATTTCAATTTTCTTCTTTTTACTTCTAATCAACAATATGGCAAACAAGGAAACAAGAGTCCCAGTGAATTCATGTAAGCTTCATGAATCTTAACCTAGCAGTTGCAAAAGATCTAAACATAACTTACCTCTATACTACAAATATCTCAGCCATGTGGATGCAACCAAGAATATTCTAATTAAGCACATCACTGCTTTCTTATCCCAGAAAATTAGGTTTTCATACAACAAGATTCTATTCTAGTAGGAAAACGTGACTAGAAGAAAGAATCATCTAAATTGCTTAAACTAAGCTAAAAAATGGTAATAGCATGTAAAAGTAGCAATTACAGTCCAAGCATTTTTCAGCTTCTGGCATTTATTACCTTTGCATCCGCAATTCCTTAGGATCAAAGTACATTAGGCCTTCTCCTGAAGTTTCTCCATCTTCTCCAACCTTTTTTTCTCGCCTTGCAATTCTTTTTTCTTCACGACGATACTGTTTCATTAATTGCTTTTCTTGTTCAGACTGAATAGTAACTTGACAACCATAATTAGGTTTAGCATTTTCTCCTAGTATTTTTTTGCAATTTTCTACAAAGCAAATTTAAGAAATAACGTTTTACAAAATTTCATAGTCAATTTAAGTATCATGAAAACCATTGCTTTTAACCTTCACCAAAATATAAAGTAGTATAATAATCTAACAACTCATTATTTAAAAATTATACATTTAGTTACATGTTTTGTTTTGTGGGAGGTTTTGGGGTTTTTTTTT